GACCAGCTGCAGAACACAGTGTTTTGCTTTCCTGGGTGCAGCTCCCCGTCACCATTTGGGATTTGGGGTGAGCTACTGAGCCCTGCCAGGGCCGTGCAGGTCTCTCTGAGCCCGAAGCGCAGGCGTTGCCCCTGTTTGTGTGCTGGGTTTGGGAATGGGCACTCCCACACGACGGGAGGGGGATAACGGGTGCTCCCACCAACCGCCCTGAGCTTGTGCGCAGGATTTGCTGCTGCTGGCTGTCGTTCGGTGCTCGCTGCGCCAGCGCCTGCCGCGGGCTTCACAGACAGAAAGGGGAGATGGCATCCCTTCCCCCGGGGACGGACAGTTGCTGAGGTTTTCTGAAACCACTTAAGGGACTTGTAGGCAATATTCCCATTAATGGGGGTAATCAAATCCTCTCGCTGCCTCCAAAAGGCTGGGCCCAAGCGGGAAGGAAGGGGTAATGCAGAAGAGCTAAGGGAATGGGGCTGGGGAGGGCGTTTCGGTGCTGGCTGGATCTCTGCTCTGAGCTGCAGCTCTCCTTGTCCTGCTGTCGGGTTAGCGCCAGGCTTTACAGGCCTCTTGGGAATATGGCAATTACTCATATATGTATGACGTACCATAAGTATATAATTGCGTAAAAACGCTTGACCAGGGTGCATCTGCATGGGGGTGTACGGACCACGCGGCCCGTCCATTGGGATGAGTTTCACGATCCTCTTTACCTTGTTGTGTGTGTGGACAAGCTGGCCGGGTCCTCAGCCCAGGGTGGCTGGCATCGCCACGGCCAGTGGTAGTGGCAGGAGGAGCTTGGGCATCCCTGGGCTGGTGGTTTTGGCCCGGTGTTGGGTGTAATTCTGGCTTTGGGTGTAGTTCTGGCATTGGGTGTAATTCTGCCTTTGCTGCTGATTCAGTAGGATCAGCTGTTTCCATCCCTGAGCCGCTGGATGGGGAAACCCGCCGGGCAGACGCTCCCCTCCCAGCGTGCCCACCGGGAAGAGCCTCTCCTGGTTGAGTGGGGAGAAATACCGCAGGAGATAGTAGGTGTCCCAGGGTGATTCTGTTTCCAACACCGAGAGGACTGTCAGAAATTAACAGTTATCTTTCTTATGGTTTGATTTGTTTTTTTTTATCCTTTCAGTCGCCTCCCATCAACAGGGATTGGAAACAAAAAATCTTAGAAAATGCTCAGTCAAAAAGATCGCGTATTCCCTCCAGAGCCGGGTAATCTCTGCACCAACAGGATGACTGATTACCACCGGCTTCTATTAAACAGGCATTAATGATGATTATTGTCTCTCTTTAACTAAACTGTGAGCCTCTGCACGGCAGCGCGAGGCTTGGTGAAGGTCACTTTGACAGTAACACATTCCCCATAAAAATATGTTCGGGGAGTTGTTGAGTGTCGGGTTGATAAGGAACCGCCACGGGCATCAGGAGCTTCTCCCCATCACGAAGAGAGGGGATGGAGGGAGGTGGAAAGCTGCTAGAGCCGGTGCTTCGGGGCAGGGAAACCGTCAGTACCCTCTGGGCTTGCAGAAAATGTCCTCGCGGTGTTGTGGTTCAAAGATTCATTTTGAAACTTCTGTTATTGGCTTAATTAAAACATTATCCATCCTGCCTGTAAGGAGCCTTGATGGCTCGTGCAAGTCGCACGTCATTAGTTGTCACGCATTGCTTCAAAGAACATGTTGAAGAAATCACTGGCTTGCTGACAGTGCCACAATAAAGAAGAGAGAAAAAAGAAAAGATTTTAAAGAAAAGCAGCAATATAAAATCCCACAGCTATTTAAAGGTCCCATAATCTCCTCTGCCTGCCCCTCAGCCTGGAGACAAAGGCGCAGACACCTTTTCATGCGGCCAGATGTTC